TTTAATAGCTGGAATTGACCTGCACTGCATATTGAGAAAAAGTCCCCTGCAATTTTTGTGTCAGCTGTCAAGAGCTCTTAGACTGATTTAAAGGGACAGTCTCCTCCTCTAGGACATGTAATGAGTGCAGAACTGATGTTGGTGAATGTAACCCGCAAATGCAGCTAATGACAGCGGGACTGTACGTACAAGAGGAAACCGATGCGGCGCAGTTGAATGCAAGTGGGACGTCAAATGCAGAAAGACATCTAACATGCAGGCATGTGGTTGCAAGACAAACAGAAGAGATCGGTGCACTATTCTAGCGGGAAGCCTGGTATATACACATTATGTTTGTCTCATTTTTGATCCATGCCACCAGTACCGTACCTAGACTCATGGTGGCTCTGGGTGAATTTTTAGTATCAGGCCCCGCTCCATCAGAGATCATGATAATAATATTTGGACAATGGGGGGAAAAAGATACCATTTTTGGGCCCCCTTTCTGTCTGGGCCCCAGGCGGCTGCCTGGTTCGTCCATGCCCGTGTCTGGGTCTGACCACCACAGGGAGGCAGGGTAGTGTTATTATGCTTGTGGAACTGATAGCACAGATCTTCAAAGGTAGTTAGACAGCAAGTTTCCATTGAAATGGCTGGGAGGCAGGTAGTCAATACTGATGAGAGTCTGTCCAGACAGCAAAATGAAGGTGTGATTGCAGCATGTGCTGTCACCCGCGGGCCAGCTTAGTCTGGCTGCGTGGGTAACAGTAGCAGTGAAGACCTACAACATGGGCTTTATGTGCTAGCAATCGCATTGGAAAACTTCTGTGAACCCTGGATTAACCCGTGCAATCATTTATTCTCAGTTATTGTGCCTCTCGACAGGTATGCCGGGTCCTAGGCTAGGTCCTAAACCACTCAGGCACTTTACCTCTCCAGGCACACTGAATTAGTGTTTATAAGGATAGAGAAAATGTCAAGATCTCCTATTCAAAGCAAAAACCCCCCCAAAAACTTAACTAATATTTCCTATTCTTTGTTGATATTCGACGTGTGATCTTTCTGGCCAGAGAGGAGCAGTCCCTTGTGTCCTCCTCAGAGTCCTGGAAGGGACTTGCAGCAGCCAGGGAGTTTGGAAGATGAGGGGAAACTCAAGGAAGTGGAAACTAAAACTAGTCTGGAGCAGAACGTGGAGGTGGGAGCAGACAGGGCTTTATTAGAGCAGGAGCAGAGGGGCAGGATTAACTTCACACAGTGTGAAAGGAGGTTAGTGTGAGAGGGGGTGTCTTGACATCTCTTCTCCTATGTTGCTCTTGCTTCTATTATCCTATCTTCTGCCCCACGCATGGGTGTTTCCCCTTGCGCTCCTTGTTTAGCCAATCCCTAGTGTCCTCAAGCCTCCTCCTCTCCTACCCCACCCTGCCCTGTCTGCCCTAAATCTAAATCAAGCTGCTTCCCCCTCTCTCCTCCATGCTGCCAGAGCACCCACCCACTCTTCCTGACCTGCACCCATGCACCCAGCACTCATGCATGCGACCCTGGCCTGCACCCAGCACTCATGCATGCAACCCTGACCTACACCCAGCACTCATGCATGCGATCCTTTAACCAGGCTGGATGCGTGGAAGGAAGGGCACATTTGGGAGCAGACACAGCCAGTGTGTTTGCTTGTGGCATTTAACTCAGCTTGGCGAGTGGAAATAGCCTGGCTACTCTCAGTTTATTTAGGGTGAATTTGATTTTTCATTTCCCATACACTAAGGCAAGCACTTTTGATGAACAGGAGCATTCATTTCTCTTTTTTTATTAACTGTAGGCTCCTCAAGGCTTCCTTGCAATGTCTCTGCTGTGTTTCTGGACAGCTCCTAACAGTAAGAGAGTCTGACCTTGACTGAAGCTACTGTTCAACATGCAGCACCACAAAATAATAAACACAAGACATTCAATTCTCCCTTTGGACACTTTTTCCTTGAGTATCCTTTTATATGAGGCTGCTAACCACACGCTTGAGTGACATGACTTCTATTCATTTATCTCGAGGAGGCCTCTCAAGTCACAGAAAAATCCAAATATAAGCGTAATGTCTTTCTCCCTCTCTCTTTGACACACACGTACAAGGCTTTACTCGATTTGGAAACCTTTTGCAAAGTAAAGCCACAAGATCTGAGATATAAAAAGAAGCGTTAAACTGTGTGAAGCTTGAATGGAGCAAATTAGGCCTCGGTCAGCAAACATCTGCACCAGATGTTCTGACATGATTTTGGGGACGATCAAAAAGATGCAGGCTGGGCTGGATGCAGCTCAAAACACCAGAACTAGATGGCAGTGGAGGACCTGTGATCTGAAGCAGAGCATCAGGAACGCTGAATACACGGCCTGCATCAGGTGGATCCCTCTGACAGCAATGCCAGCTTTATGGATCCACTGGAAAGCAGAGTGGCTTCCCCAGCAAAACGCTGGCTTCATCCAGGCTGGGAGCAGGAAAAATGCTACTCTACAGAAAACAGCGGGCTATGAATTGAGAATAATTTCTATAACTTGCAATATTACAATTTGGACCCCAATCAACAGAGACGTCGCTGGACTCCTGTTGAAAGCGGTGTCTCGTGTCTCTCCTGAAAAAGCAGACGACAGCACGCCAGTGTTTACTTTCTTTATGACTGAAGAGGCTCTGTGATTACAAGGCAATATATATATATATATATATATATATAAAATAATAATAATAATAATTTGCAGAGTACAATAAGCAGCTAAATGCCAGGGGGGAGCCGGGCCGGCTGTAAATTTGATATTTTGTTCACTGCCTTGCTCGCCAATTTATGATGGAAGGAGGGAGGGGATTTTGCAGGGCACTCAATCTTCTATGCCACTGTAATTTTCCTCCCATCCAACTTCCAAACAGAGATGAGTAGTTTATCGAGGAGGAAGAAGGCTGAGGATGCTGAGCAAGGAGAATGTAGGGGGTGACCTAGCAGCTCTGTTAACAGGACTCAGTTATCGCAGGATTGCAAAGCAATAACGCCAGAGGCGAATGAATTACACACCAATCCGAGCAACAGCTTTTAAGGTGGACGTGAAAAGAGGTGTGGGAAAGCATGTGGATTTAGCTGCCAATTGAAGCGATTGGTTTATCTGTCCATTCACTGACAGCATTGTCCTGAGAGGTGTTGACTAACAACAGGAGATCAGCTGTGCTAAAGACTTGGCCTAACACTGGGGCTGATCCTATGGGGTGCTGAGTCCCTTTAGCTCATGCTGAGCCTCAGTCCCTGCAAAGCCCACACTTACAAGCATGCATACAGTGATAGTCATCTCCCAGATGGGCCGCTTCTCACATGCTAAAATAATACCCACAGTTTGCTCGTCGTCCGGTGTTTGTCATAGACTCATGCAACTTCTGTCCCAGATGAAAAAGCTGGTTGGACATAAATCTGTCTGATGCTACATCCATCCAGGTTAATCTAAAACCAGTTTGGGCCACTTTAACAGAACGGAAGTTCAGTGCACGTAAAGTACTTTCAAAGGTTTAAACTGGTTTCTGATCACTTAAACTGGTTTATATGCAACCTCTGTCCCTCGCCTTTCAGGCTATCATCATTCCACAATGACTCCATCCCCTATGCTTTGTGGAAATGATGTATTGGTTTCGTCAGGACTTCAAAGTCCATGAAGCTATGGTCCATCCAGCTTTGCTACCTATTTCCATCCTCCAGGGCCTGACCAGGCCCTCTTCCTCACTCTGCAGCTGGGTTTCCTTCAGGGCTGCTCTAACTCGCATCAAACCCATCCCCCAGGGACTTCCAACTTGCCTGCTCCTCTCCCTGCCTGACCTAGACTGCTGCCCACAGGGAA